TCCGTACATGACTGAGATCCCCGCACTCAAAATAACCTCTCGGTGCGATGGACTGCTGACCTGAAGCCTGACCCTGATGGCCTGAATTCCCACTGGAAGAACCCTGAATAGCTGGTAAGCGGTAAGAACTCTCTAGTATGGCGCTGAAATAAGGTCGCACTCGAGCAACCCGAGGAGGTGGCAGTGTTGGATATGTGGGCCTGCTAGGCTGACCTCTCCCAAACTGACCTCCGCCCCAGATGGAGCATCACTGAATCCTCCAGAATAATGAAACCACTTGTCTCGCGGCATCTTCTCTCGGCCCCGCTGACTATAACCCTCAATCCTCCGAGCTATCTCCACAACTAGCTGGTAAGAAGTCCCCATCTCAACCTATCGGGCCATAGTGGCCTGAATACCTGAGTACAACCCAGCAACAAACCTGTGCACTCTCTCCGCCTCAGTAGGAAGTATTATAAGTGCATGGCGAGACAACTCAGAGAATCTCGCCTCATAATCGGTCACTAACATCTGACCCTGTTGGAGCTGCTCAAACTAAAACGGCAACTCTTCCCTCTGAGAGAGTGGAATATACCTATCAAGAAAGGTACGTGTGAACTGGTCCCAAGTCAAGGGAGGAGAACCTGCTGGTCTGCCAAGAAGATAATACTGCCACCATCTACGGGCCCTGCCCTCCAGCTGGAAAGTAGTAATATCCACCTTGTGGGTCTCTAATATCCTTATGTTGTGCAGTCTGTCCCTGCACCGATCAATGAAGTCCTGGGGATCCTCATGTCGCTCACCTCCGAAGACAGGAGGGTGTAGCCTAGTCCATCTGTCCAATAGCTTCTGCGGTTCGCCGGTCGCAGCTGGTCTGGGCTCAAGCATGGCTGTTGCCACTGGCTGGGCTCCCACGGGTAGTGCGCCCGGGGTCTGATACACGACAGTCGCATGTCCAGGAGCTTGAGCTGTAGGGGTCTGTGCACCCCCTCCCGCCTGTGATGTGGCTAGGTCCGTTGGAAATAAACCAGCCTGAGTCATAGTGTCCATGAACTGTAGCATACGGCCCATGAGCTCCTGAAAGCCCGATGCCGACATGAAATCTACCGGGGCTGGCTCTGCTGCAGGCACCTCACCCTTCTCCTCAATAATAGGATCCTCTATTGGATCTGCTGGTGGCATAGCTGGAGAAACTCTGGGACATCCTCGTCCCCTACCTCAGGCTGGTGCCCTCCCCCGGCCTCAGCCTCGGCCTATAACAACAAGGGGAGTAGCTCCTCCCGGGTCTGGAACATTCGATGTGTGCATTTTCACCATATGTGAGAGAATAAGAGAAAGATACTTAGTATAACATTAATTGCACGATAGGAGATGAAGAAAGAGTAGTTTTCTAAAACCATATAGCCTCTTGAAGATAAATACGGACGTGTCTGCACCGATCCGCAAGACTCTATCAGGCCTGCTCATAACGTGTGAGGCCTACGTAAACGTAATACTCTGATACCATATTGTCACGACTAAATTTCTCCTATAGGTCGTGATGCCGCCCAACGTTACCATTAGGCAAGTCAACAGTGAATTAACCATATGATCTTTTCTTTTAGGAATTTGAAATAGTTGATTTTTAATTATTCAATAAACAAAAAGTTAAAAGTTAATAAAATGAGAAAGTAAACAATTTTAAAAGCAAATGGGATGAAGTAATTACTCAAAAATCAACAGGTGTCTACTAGCAAAAAGCCAACAGCTCACTTTTTGCTAGTCAAAACAACCTACACGGCACCCCAGTATGCAACATTATACATAAGGAGATTTTTCGGTTGCATGGTTCTCCCATGTGATGAGACTTAATGGACGCTTATGCATGCCTAATGTAGATGATCTTCGAAGGAAAATTATGGTAGAAGCTCATAGCTCCAGATATTCAATACATCCAGGTTCTACTAAAATGTATCATGATTTGAGAGATATTTATTGGTGGAATAATATGAAGCGATATATTGTAGATTATGTATCACGGTACCTTAACTGTCAGCAAGTAAAAGCTGAACACCAAAGGCCAGGTGGCTTAGCTTAAGTCATTGAAATACCAGAATTACCTCGATAATCGGAAAAAGCTATACTGAATCGTGGGATGACGTGTATTCGGGGCATTAAATTCGGAGAGACGTGCGTGTAATCAACCGTCAGAAGCCTTCAGAGGGAGTTATAGTAATTCCTGCCAAAAGAATGTTTCTACCAACTTTCCGGTAACCCAAAGTTATGTCACCGGAAAGCAGGGGGACTATCTGTATAGGGTAAAATATGTTATGCCACGTGGCCGTCCAAAAAAGGGACACGTGGAACCTAAGATGGGGGGGATGTCCAACACCGAAGGCAACTGTTATGTCTGTCACCGGGAAGAATAACGCTCATAAGGATGTAATAAACACTCATCGCCCGGTAGCATTTAACAGGGAATATTTCATGGCATTAAGTACGATTGCCCGTTACAGAAAATTTGGCATTTATGCTTACCGTTATATCTTCATCAATGACCCTCATAATTGACGTTAAAGAGGGGCACGATCCTAGGACCTCCTTCCCTAGACGTAGCTATAAATAGTGAGCTCAGCTATCATTGTAAAGGACATGAATTTTTTGACAAACTTATACTACACTCTATCGAAAGCTTAATATAATTTTATCCTCTTGCTTTTTTATTTCGTTATTGTTGTGCCCGGAACCACTGTGTTTTTGCTATTTCGTCTCCGTCGCAAGGCTAAGTATTGCATATTTTTTCAATTATCTTATTATTTCAGGATCAAATTAATTCACTTATCTAGAAACCACATATAAATTCAACTGTACCGTTTTACGGGTAAACAGGTTTAAATACGTAAGAAAACTTTTGTAAAGATTTGGAGTTGACACTAAAGAAAGATTTAAATTATGGAAGAGCACAAGCATTCTTTTACAGGAACTCGAATTTGTCTTTGACTTGGACAGTATTATGTTTAAAGATTTAATAATTGCTTTAAGACTTAGAAACTCTTATTCTGGACTCCCTTTTCTGGTATTTTTAGTTTGACAATATTAATAGTTAGATATTTTTGGTGCAATTGATGAAGTCTTAGCCTTTAATTCTAACTCCTTTATTGCTTCCTACTTTTGCTTTTGTTTTTTCATCTCTTTTTATGTTCTTAACTCGATATTATCTAACCCTTATGCTTTCTTTTTCTTCATCTCTTCCAATTTTAGGTTGCGGGGTCTAGGTTTTAGAAGCTTAATTTCGGATCCTTCAAAGCTAATAGTACAGAGTATATTTAGGTAAATGATTATCTTCTTATGTTTCTCTAGATGTGTTTTAGCGATTATGAGCCTATTTTTTAATTTATTTACAAAGTGTCTTGCTTCTTACACACACAAACACATAATTTATATGTAAATAAAGATAAATAATAATTGGTTTGTTGGATTTATCTCACGCGGTAAATATAATATATATATATATATATATNACCACAAGGGTCTATAGTACGCAGTCTTACCATGCCTTTCTGCAAGAGGTTGTTTTCACGGCTTGAACTCGTGATCTCCTGGTCACATGGCAAAAACTTTACCGATTACGCAATAAATATGTGATTTTTAATGTGTGGAATTATGACTCTCGATCATCTAGAACTCTCTAATATTTCTTGCTTAAACAAATCATTAGGGAGGAGAAAAATAAAAATTAATCAAGCTTTCAATCGAGCTAGGCTACCTATTTAGAATAAGTAATCTTTTTTAGATAGTTGTAAAGTATATTTCAAAATTCATTGAATTTCATGATTTTCGAGCCATATTCTGATGTGAGCTTTTTTACAATCATTCATTATGAGTTAGCAAGATAAGATTAATATTCATCATAAATTTTTCTAAGTTTTATTTTTCTAATTCAAATATATTGTATTTTTAATGTGGGATACACGCGCATATAAGACTAGTTACATAAAATGAGACGAAAGAAGTAATAAATTTTAAAGTCGACATTTTAAACGAAGAGCGGAAGAGGATCCTTATAGATAGAGAGATGAAGAAAGCAGGGGTTTTAATTATTTGACTTTCTTGGCCAAATTTAAAAACAAAGATTTAATTATTTGACTTTCTTGTACAAAAATGTGAAGTTTGGATCTAGCTACTTGTGCAGTAAGACATTAGGGTTTAACATAATTACAAATAACATTTTAAAAGATGGAATTAAGACTCGTGCTGATGTCAAGTCGACCCTATATACCTAGGGCGGGGAATCTATAATCTCATTAGACTAAGACCCTAATAGGTGGACAAGCGTCGTGTATTGCACATATGACTAGGATGAATTATATGAGTTGGTTTGTTCAATGTGAATAGGATACTAGGTGCAGATCACGTGAATTTGAGACGTGACATTCGCATTTTCTTTTGGTTGCCATATGCCCAAACTTCTCAACTTATAGAGAAAGAAGTTTCTTAATTTAAAGTGCAAAAAAAAAACTTGGAAAAACTGATGAAAAGTTAACAAAGCCATTTCTGATTATATTTTGTAAATCCTTAAAGGACATTATTTTGTGGCTGAAATATGATTCATTTACAATCCTCTCTCACACAATAGGCATATGGCCTTATAGATATTTTAAGGGAAAGGAAATTAATTAAACAAATAGATATGACACTCGAAATTGGTCAAGAAAGTCAAATAATTAAAAACCTTGCTTTTAAATTAGCCAAGAAAGTAAAATAATTAATATCCTTGATTTCTTCATCTCGCTATCAATACGGATCAACTTCGGCTCTTCGTTTGCCGACAAAATAGCCTCCTTAACTAGGGGCAGAGCTAGAGGATGTATGGACCATTTTGTCGAGAAATTATACTATATATACAAGGTCAAAAATATATAATTAGTAATCAATTCAACATGGACACACCACTGAAATTCAAAGGGGGTCCACGATTTGAAATTTTACATCTAACTAAAATCTATATAAAGACTACAAATTCTGAACATTTTCTCACCACTTTCTTTTCACAACTATTGCTATTCCGAAGAGAAGAAAATATGGGTGTGAAGGGCAAGTTGATTGCTTCATTAGAGGTGAAGAGTGGAGGACACTCTGTTCAGGATATTTTTCACGTTAATACTCTTCATATACCCAGCATAAGCCCTAGTAAGATCAACCATTTTGAGATTCATGAAGGTCAAATTATAAAAGTTGGTTCGATCGTTAGCTGGAAATACAACGAGGGTAACACACATTTCTCCTCTCTCTTTATATGCATCAATTTTTTATATTTAGGTGTATTTGATTTTGATGATGTTTATTACCATAAATATATTCTGAGTAAGACATTTTGCATTAAAAAAAAAAAGAAGAAGAAAAATAGCTTCTTTAGGCGGAAGTCATTTCCTCTAGGGAAACATATTACAACTATCTTAACTTTTAACTTTCTTCTACTTGCTCCCATTAACCTTTAGACGTTACTATTAGTTTTTAGCACTCAAAATTTTATCAAATTAAATGACCTATAAATTTTTAATATTATTATTATTATCTTTAATGTATGCTTTCCGTAATATATCTTTCACTCACCAATCAAATATTAGAAAATATTTTCCAAATATTTTGCAGAACAAAACTTTTTTCATGAAAAATTGCTTCAGTCATACCAAACACATTATAATCAAATCTATAATTTTTTCGTGAATGTTTATATCTTTTATGAGGAATTGCACTATTGAACTAGGAGTAACATCTCTTGTATTTTTGAATTTTAATGATTATAGATGGAAAAGAAAAGATTGTTAAGGAAGTGATTGAAGCCTTCGATCATCAGAAGAAATCAATCACTTGGAAAGTGATCGAAGGAGATTTGTTAGAGTTGTATAATTACTTCACTATTATCACATCCAGTGAAGATCAGTGGACTACATGGACATTAGTGTACGAGAAGAAAACTGAAGACACCCCTGAGCCTCTCGATTTCTTGGGTGTAGTCCTTGATTTGACCAAAGATATAGATATTATTGTCATTAAATTTTAAACTAAAAATCTTAATTTAAAGATATTTGTGACCCAAAAAAATTGAACTAAAAAACTAAAATTCATAACACATTAACTAATTTCTAAATAACAGCGTTAGGTTTCATAATATGAGAATTGTTCCGCAGTTAGCCAGTTAGGCTCGTGACAGGCACGTGCTAATTTTGGCTTCCACAATAAAGCACATTATGGTAACGAAAAATGAATAAAGTAGGACTTTTATGCAAAGAAAGAGTAAACAATTTAGACGAAGGTTGGAGAAATGAAGATCCCCACATTGAAGAATATAGGAAAAAAATACAAAAGTGGTCGATCGGCAAATTAATTGCATTTGCTAACCAAAAAATGTATAAATTATATACATATTTTGTATATAATACACATATAAAACAAACAAACAAAAATATTTTATCGGCTATTATTTTTAGGAGCGGTTAAAATATACATTTCTCCAAGAATGTACCAACTTCTCTAGTGCCAAAAGATACATTTCCAACAATCAAAAGAAACTCTCTTCTGCATGCAGGAAGAATACCACAAGTTACCCAAAGAAACTTCAGCGGGAAAAATTGTTCAATAGGGAACTGCAAATTTTGAACTTCAGGTTTCCTATTGTGGGAGTTTTTCTCATGTTTATTTATTGTACAAAAAAACTATGTAGAGTAAAGAAAAGGTTTACAAAAACAGGAATGGGAATAAGTTAAGGAATATGTAATCTGAAAGAAAACAAAGAAAGCAATTCAACAAAGTTCTCTTTGAGGAATTTTCTGTGTAAACTTCATTTCCATCAACAAGAACAAAGACAAAGGATAAAAGGAAATATTACGTATTAGCAAAAAGGAAAGGAAAGGAAAGAAACACAGGAAATGAATTCAAAGGGAGCTGCAGCTGCTACACCAACTCAAATATATGAAGATTTTGTGCCAACATCAAAGCTGGTTCAAGAAGAACTCTCTGACACTCTTCACCTTAATATTCCAGGTGCCATTCTTTACTCATTCCTGTCATTAATCATCTGTTTCCTCCTCCCACCACTGACGGATTTATACTAGATGTGGATTCAGTACATCTATCGGAAACAGCCTCTACCTCACACAAGGTAGGGGTGAGGTCTGCGTACACCCCACCCCCCGGATCCCACTCGTGGGAACACACTAAATGTGTTGTTGTGGATTCAGTAGATTATATTGCATCTAACTCGCACTATATATATGTAAGTGCTCGCACGTGCGAGAAACAAGTTGGCACATATATAAAGAGTAAAACAAACTGAGTTAAATTTTGGATTCACCTCCCTCTCCCGCCAAAATGGTGCATGCAATACACTTGCGACAGAATGATTTATAGACTGATCCAGTAAAGCAGTGGGTGAACCTCTCAATATATATTGATACTTAAAATAAAAAATTCTTTAAGAATTTCTACAGAACATATATACAGTACGACTCCATCTAGTGCATGCGCAACTAGTATATGTTGGATTCCCCACTGGTGATATTAACCTTACAACATCATGAGAAATTACAGGGATTCTATAAAATGCTATACTGCTATATGAGATTTTTTCCGCTATGCTCAGAATAATGTTAACAATTCTCCAGAAAATGAAAAGTTCATAATCAGATGAAGATGTCACATCTCACAGTAACTTATTCCATGCCTTATGTCAACTAAGATATCTGAGAAGTCATGTATCCACATCAGGCGCGACTGTTGTTATTTTCTTAATAATTTTCATAGTTAACCTTAAAGATTGAAATTCTATCTTCTGGAACATATTGATTTCATATATGATAACACACTGATGAAGATTGAAATCATCAGGTTTCAAGAAGGAACAGATGAGGGTTCAACTGACCAGAACGGGAATTCTGAAGATCAGCGGACAAAGGCCGATTGGGCAGAATAAATGGCAGAGGTTTCAGAAGGACTTTCCTGTTGCAGAAAATTGTGACAAAAGTAAAATCAGTGCAAAGTTTGAAAATGGCATTCTTCATGTTAAACAGCCAAAACTGATAACTTCAACACTGAAAAATGATAAGGAATTGCCAGCCTCAGAAGCTGAGAATACCCCTGCTAAAAGACAGAAGACCTCTTTACGAGATGAATTTACTAAGCAGGATAATGCTGATATTAATAACTCTGCTAAAGAGCCAGCAAAAGAAGAACAAAACAACACTAGTCCTAAAACCACCGAGCAAACAGAGGCTAGAAATCTTGGAGAAAAATCACCAGCAGATAAAAGTAGTTCAAGTAGTTCTTACAGTGAATCTGAAAGTGATGAATCGTCTGATGATTGGACGGATGATGAAACAACCGGAAACGCTAGCTGTTTGGCTGCAAACCTGAAGAAGCCAAGGAAAATGATGAAAATGACTCTTGTTGCTCTGTTGATTCTTGGTAGTGGGGTCTATGTCGCCAACATGATGAAGTCTGCGAACGAAGCTGAAGAAATGGATAAAGTTTTCCTGTAACCCAAATGGTTGGGATATGTGCATTTCCTCCCAGCTATGACTGTGAATAGAATAACTATTCAATTTCTAAACTGTAATCAATCAATTTGTTTGAATAAATCATAAGTGCTAATGAGGTGAAATGGTTTGTATCTCATGTATGCTTTCTGAAGGGGAGAGCAAATGGCCAAATCCAAGTCCTAAGCGCTCATTTAACTCGACAGATAAAGCAGAAAAGGTGATTGTAAAAGGGAAATGGGATCATGAAGCACAGTATCTGCATCTGAGGTCTCTAACCATCTAGCAGCAGTTAAGATATGACAAGAACTCGGGCAGTTCCAGTTAGTCAACTAAGATATGACAAGGACTTACCCTGTTAAGTTCATATTAATACAACTTAACTTCCAAAACACTTCAATGTTTCAGAAAATAAATCATAAAAATATTTTAACAGATGGTAGCTATAATCATCCTTGCCAGCCTCTGTGTTCAAGAGGACACTAAACGTAAGTAATATGCCTCTGGAGTCTTCGTCGCGGTAGAATTTGCATTCGGGATGATAGATGAATCGGATGGTGTCATTGCAGCTGATGATATAGTTTCTCTAGGCAAATGGCACAATGATTCCATCTAAGAAGATGGCTTCTCATTTACATTGAACATGCATTAACCTTTTCAGCACCTATGGACTGTGGAGATGTATATTTAGAGTGAGCCATCTCCTCTTCATCTGCCAAAGGCATGAATACGTAGTTGCATCAGAACCGGTAATAATAAGCCAATCACAGTAGTTGGAATGGGTACATGGTGAAATATGAGACGGACCTCTGAATTTTTCTTGACAACCAGAAATGGACAGAGTGAATCCATGCAAGGTTCAGTTTTGCTAAGTTCACCTTCCAATTCCGAGAGAACAGTTGAAGGATCATTGGTAAGGAAAAATTTGCCTGAAATGGGAAAAGATGTCAATTTACTGTACAAAAGTGAAATCTTCGATAGTCTTCCAACAGCATTAAAATGTCCTTGTTTGTTAATCTCAAGACAAACATCTATTAGCTTGAAGAAAGTCTCCTTAACATCGATTTGGCTCTAGCGCAAAGAAGGCGGAGGAGAATACGAACATTTTGTTAAAGCCATAAAAGCAACCTCGGCAGCATAATACCTGAAGACTACTAAGGAGCACTGAAATGTTATTCCTAGACTTACAATGTTATCCCGAATGAATGTAAAGCCCAGTTCAAGTAGAAAGCTTCCCCAAACTTTCTAAGCGGCAAACCCTCTCTTGACATTAATGCAGCCTTCTCAAGATCTTCAACCTCAATCGTTAATAGCCAAAACAATTTGATAACAAGTCTAAAATCTGAAAAGCGATAAAATATCAGTCAACATAGATGTGTATGATGCTGAATGGGGGGAAAGAAAAGCGGTTGAAGCTTAAGAATACAAACCTTGGTTGGCCATCTCAGTTTAAAATGGTAACACGGCCTGTAAGCATTCCCTTCATTGGGCGCTTGCTCATGCTCTGTGCCAGTGAAGACCAGAAAACAGTCATTTGTTTTGTGCGACTGACATCCATAATTGGAGTCTTAACACCACGGCATCCATAACATTAAACCCATACTTCCGCTGTAAAAGCTTCTCCTGGAGTTTGACTACTTTGCTCATTTCCTCTGTAAAAGGAATAACTGCACTAGTAGATATATAGGGAACTTGTTAGCCTTGTATTCTAGCCAAAGTTTTTTTTATCTCTAAAGTCACATTATATTCTAGTCGAAAGTTTTCTTATCTCTAAAGTCGCATTGTATTCTAGTCGAAGTGTTCTTAGCTCTAAAGTCGGAGAAGAGTATTGTTTCCTGGAGAAGAATATACCAGCACCATGCTTCACTCTGTCATGTAGAAAGAAGCTGCTCATCAGACAGGAAGCTGTTATTGATGATAGAAAATGATAACACCTGAAGACCACTAAACACCACGGAAAAAAGTTATTCCTAGACTTATAACTCGCATCATTTCTCATATTAAGAATGAAATAAAATATGATTTCCAAGATAAAGTAGAGTGGCATAACAATCAAATATTAGAACTGATGTACCTCCTCAATAGGCTTACTTGGATGTTCTAACTGAGATTCTTTCAGCTTCTGCATTTACATTAGATGCGATTTCCTTTGCAGAGGTAAAAGGAAATTACATCATAGTGATAAATATAGCTGAATAAACCAAGTGATATAAATATTCACTTTTTACTTCCCGAGTGAAAGTGTGATATTATCCCCACTTGTGTGAATTCACTGGGTTTATTGTTGTTGAGTGAGTGAAACTGTGGTATCATGTTAAGCAAAGAAGGATCCTCGGCCATAAGGTGTATAAGTAACTTTGTTGTAGCTGCATCAAATGAGAAGCCCCTTCCAGTCATTTCCTTCAAAAGAGTTGTCATTTCACTAGTTCTGCGAAACTTGAGAAATCCTTGAACAATAATATTGTACGTGGCATTATCTGGAGAACAACCATTACCCTCCATTTTTTTTAGCATATCTTTAGCTTCATCTAACAACCCTTCTAGACAAAATCCATTTATTATCATATTGTAAGTTATCACATCAGGAGACATTCCAATTAAAGAAAGCTTCTCAAATATAGCACGAGCTTCGTCGAGCTTACCATTTCTACATAATCCGTCAATTACAATACTGTAAAGTTCAATATCAGTATATTCTCTCTTTCTTTCCAACTCATGAAAAAGCAACAAAGCTTTCTCAACAAGCCCATTCTGAAAATAACCACCAATTAAAATGCCATTGGTGAATATATTAGGTTTGAGCCCCGTAGATAGCATCTCAGCAAAGAATATTTCGGCAAAGTCAGTTCTTCCAACTTCAAATAGACCTTGCAAGATAGTACTGTATGTAACAATGTTAGGTTTCGGTCCATTTCGAGAAATTTCACGAAACAAATGCATGGCCTCATCCAATTTCTTTTTCTTACAATATCCATTTATTAATATGTTATAGCTAATAATGGTAGGCTCAATGCTCTTATCTATCATGGAATCGAAAAGTCTCCTTCCTCTATCCATTTGACCGCGCAAGCAATATCCATCAATTATCACATTGTAGGTGACCACATTAGGCTCTACGCCTTTTTCAATCATGTGTCTCATTACCTCCTCAGCATCTTCAACTTTCCCTTCTTTGCATAATCCATCTGTTACAATGGCCAAAGTGCGCACATTTGGATAAATATTAAGATTTACCATTTCAAAGAACAAAGGCCTAACCTTTTCCCACTTACCAAACTTACAGAGACCATCAATCAATGAATTATATGTGACAATGTCCAGAGGAATGCCTTTTTGTTTCATCTCTTCAAAAAGGCTAACTGCGGCATCTAACATTCTATCTTTGCATAGGGCATCTATAACAATGTTATAGATGTATTCATTGGGCTTAGTGCTTCCTTGTTCCATTACCCATAGCAAATCAAAAGTTTTTTGAGTATGGCCATTTTTGCTAAGCCCATTCATGACTATGGAATACATGAATTCGTTCGGCTCACAAATATTCTCTCTCACCAACTTTTTGAACAAGTTAACTGCATCTTTTATCTTATTTTCTGCAAAGAGTCCCCTTAGTAAGGTGCTAAATGTGACAACATTAAATGGAATGCCATTCTTCAAGTAAATGGGTAACACCGAAAATCCGCAATCAGTACGAAGCATTAGGCAATAACTGTTAATCACGATACACAAGATGTAATCGCTAATTGGGATATCAGATTTCTGCATTTGTCGAAAAAGGGAAACAACAGCAGAGTAATGCTTCATATTTACCATAATCTTTAATAATTTGGAGAAGCTAAAAACAGAAGGAAGAGGCTGCGTACTGACCATTCGACGAAAGAGACTCAGAGCATCATCTAAACACTTGACATTCTCAATATTGCTATGAGATGAAGAATAATATCTGATTGCAATTGCCGAAGCAGAAGGAGAATTGGTAAAGAATGAGATAAAGGGAAAAATACCATTGCAAGAGTAACGCAGCAGAGAAGTTCTCGTCATCTGATTGCAATTGCTGAAGAGAAATTCTGTTTGCCCTAATTTTTTGTGCTACGGATGAAATACATTTTTGTTCACGTGACATTTTCTTAAAATAAACCTATATTTCATTAATTTTTAAAAATATTTGTTTTTAATCAATTTTTTCAGGCCATTATTTAGCTAAAAGTAATAGAGTTTCAGCCAATTCTTTTTAAAGGGCTCTTTGGTACGAGATATAAGAATAGTACTAAATAGATTGTATTAGTAATGCTGGTATTAGTAATATGCTGGCATTAATTATGCTGAGATTATTTTTATCAACTGTTTGGTTTGATGAATTAAAGCATTGCATAATTTTTTTAAAATTGGGTGTTTACAAAAGTAACCTGCACAATTTTTAACTTTAGCCATAAAAATTAACTACATAGATAACAGAATAAGAAATTCTTTCAACAATGAGAGCAAACAATGAGTAAATAACAAACCATTTCAAAAGGAAGCACCAGAAACGAAATTACCAGAACTAAGAACTAATTTTACAAAATACCTCAAATATTAGTTCTTGAATATAGAAACATACCCCAACAAACAAAGAAACCAATAGTTAGTGTCGTCACTCCATGAGTCGCTCTAAAGNTGATCTCAGAAGAGGAAAATGAAGAAGAAGAAGATGATTTGACTGCATGCACCTATGCTTTTCCATGGCCAAAGCGTACATAGAGGAGTCTGTTTGCTAATTATATGGGGGAAAGTAATTGAGATGGGTTTTTAGGGATTTGAGGAAGGCAATTAGTTTCTTTAATCATGTTTATGCAAGTATTAAAAACCCTTGCATTACTAATGTCATGATTTTCTATGCATTACTTATACATAGCATAATACCAAGTATGATGTATAACTAATATTTGTAATGCATGGAATTAATGCTTGCATTATTTTTTCTAATACCTTCTACCAAACGACCCCTTAGAGTTTTAGGTACACCGTAACACACAGTTAACTATTTTGAACCTAACTCTTATCATCTCGGAGATTGATTTCACTAAAAATATTCCATGAAGTAGGACTTGCTCTAATACTTCCCTTACAAGCTGAAGGTAGAGAAACAACATTTAGCTTGGAGCAAAGTAGCTCAAATATGGCAGAAGCGAGAGGCTTGGTTAACACATCAGCTAGTTGGTCTTTTGTTAACAGGAACTGGACTGAGAGATCCTTTCGAGCCACTTTGTCACGGACAAAGTGATAATCAATCTCAACATGCTTAGTGCGAGCATCATGGGGTATACACAGGATTTCCCATAAACGATGTCGACATTTAAAAAAATAGATAAAGAAACAAATATAGTAACAATATCATATAAACAAACATAGCTTACTACAACTCTCCTCGACGAATTTTCATATTTTGGAAGGTATTCATAATAGCCTCATTAGGAATAAGACTAAATACACCCTTTTTCATATAAGGCACCAAACAACTACTCAAAAACTCATCATCCATTCGACTCCGCAAATCGGTCTTAATCAACTTCATTGCCGAAAAAACTCTCTCAACTGTAGCAGTAGCAACAGGCAAAAGTATAGTAAATTTTACAAGTTGAAAAATAAGAGGATAAGTCTCATATTTCTTTGTCTCTACTAATTTCGTGGAAAGATTACCAAGTCCCCTAAGATCTGAAAACCTTTTATCATGATCTCGGACATCAACAATGTAATTCTGAAGCTGAAATCAAAGATCGGCCATAGAATATTTATCAAAATCATCAGAATATAACTCACCTAATCTCAATATCTTTGCAATGTCAAAATTGGAAAAAAAGTCAATCGGGTTCAAGCAAGCAACTCCAAAAAGCAAATCGGTTGTCACCTCATCAAAGATTGAGTTCTTGAAATTACCAATAAATAATTCTATAAAATACCTCAACATGGTAGTGATGTGAAACTGTATACTCAGCAACTCTACAAAGTGATCTTCCTGGGATAACATCTAGCTCATCAAATTCAGGTATGGAAATTCGTATTTCATACAGAATTTAGATACCTCATTAATAAGTGAATCTCAACCTTTCTTTCTCAGTTCTTGCAATTGATCCTTTGCCACTCCAACAAGTAACATGGCATTACCATATCTTGCTCCTTTTAAAAGGCTTCACTAAGCTCATTTGTGATTGCTAAAATTAAATCAACATGAAGACAATTTCAAATGTTAAACATACTTTAAGATATCCCCTTGCCATACATTTCTCTTCAAAACATGCATTACCAGCAATAACATCAAGCACATAAATAACAGGGCCAAACATAGGAATGAAATTATTAAAGGATTTGTAATGAGAACTCCGTCGTGTATCACCAGCTCTAGCAAGACTCAATTCTTGATTCAAGCCATTACCGGTTTCAAGCTCACCTTTACGCAATGCCTCTTCTAATTCTTCTACTTGAGATTCACGAAGTTCATCTCTACGCTTGAAAGAAACTCCCACCATATTCAGTATATCAGAAACCAATAATAAAAGTTCTTGCACTTCATCACATCTTCTAGAAACCTCAACAAGAGTTAGTTGAAGTTGATAAGCAAAACAATGAATAAAATGAGCACCTCTACTTTCTTTTTTGCATTAAGATCTTAAGACTATTTAAATCACCTTGCATATTACTTGCTCCGTCATAGCATTGTCCACATATAGAAGATGGACTTAAAGAATGTTTAGTAAGTAAACTAAAAATTTCATTCCTTAGAGACAAAACAGTAGTATCACGAACATGAACGATGCCCATAAATCGCTCAATCACACTTTCCCTCCTATCAACATAACGCAGAACAATAGTCATTTGCCTTACATGATACATCACGAGATTCATCTAACCAAGATTGAAAAGTGATTATCATTTATATCCTTGATAATACTCTTAATTGTTTTTATCTTACATGCAGTGATAATATCCTTTTGAATATATGGAGAAGTCAATTGATTATTTTTAGAGCTTTTTAATATGCATCATCAATATCTTTACATCGCTTTGTGTACCATGTAAGAAGTTCAATATAATTACCTCTATTGAAAGATGATTCACCTTCACGATGTCCCCGAAATGATAATCCTTGATTCAAAAGATATCTTATCATATCGATTGCAGCTTCTAAACGAGTTCGGTATTCTAACTTTTGTTGATCAAATTGTTTAGCAAGTGCACTTTGAATGGATTGTTTTTGTCTCATCAAATCTTCACACTTCTTTCTTGACTGATTATGAACGTTGTGTGGTCCACTAATATGTATAGCAAATCTATCCTTCTTAATCCAACTTGTAAACCCTATGCTTGAAAATACATCTCCTTCCCCTCGATTAATGCATTCATCTTGAAACAAATAACAATAGAAGCAATATGCCGCATCTTTTGTTAGGCTATACTCCAACCAATCATACTCAAGAAACCATCGAGGATTCAAACAACGCAATTGACCATAAAAATTTCTTTGAGGGAAACTGTGATTTCGAGGTCATCAAGGACCTTGTTGAATATATGCTCTTCTTACTGCATCACGGTCATTCAGATGATATTTTTGAATTGCTAATCTTTTCCCTCGATCAGTCTCAAAACGATTTAAATTAACTTCTTCACTTTGTGGAAGTTGTTCGGACTCATCAACTGTTTCTTCCAAGTTAGATGAACTTTGAGGTGTTGAACTTGATTTTGAAGGCTTGGAAGGAACTACATGATAAAATCTCTTCATTTGAATTCAAGCTGAATTGCAAATTAAAATATCAATTAGATAACCCGTATAAATTGCACAAAAATCAACTCAAAAAGAACAATAATGTTTGTTTCAAGAAATTATAACTCGAAAAAAGAGAAAATATAAAAGAAGTAGAACAACTCACTTGTGATTGCAACTAGAATATTTCAGCAAGTTCCGATGTAATTAAACTCTAGAGAATTTTATATTACTAGTCTCTGAACACGTGCGTTGCACGTATAGCCCGTATGAATTATCACAAAATGTTGTAAAATACAAATAAATTAAAAATTATTTTATAATGAAATTACAAAAATATTGTTCATTTTCTGACAAGATAAGTTAAATATTCGGTATCTACTCTTTATTTACGTACTCCCTTTTCTTTGTGAATAGATCAAAATGTGAGAAAAGTGGTATCTTATGTGAATATATAAAAAGGGGGAAATAGCTACCCCTAGTATCTTATGTGAATATTAAAAAAAACTTAACTCATTATTTGACTTTTAAGAGCGAAATAAGTAATTAAGTTATTATCTTTGGTGAACACGTGAATCTCAAAACATATAAATTAATAATCGTCCATATTTGTATCGCGCCTCCCGAGTCCAACATAGCACCCAGTTGTATAAATATGTACAAGGAATTTCTATAAAAAATATATGAAAATCAAGATTGACTTTATTTCGCCTTTGATTAATCCCCATATTATAATTTTAATATAACTTGTTCACAAGGAAAATTAAATAAATTACATCCATTCGTACACTACAGACATACAACACTTATCTAGTATAAAGTGTCACAAAAAAAAACTTATCTTGTACAAAATCAACACATAGCTATAGAAGCAAATTTAGAAGGTCACACATTTTGCACTAGCTTTAACTCAGTGAACTTCTTGAAAGGCACATCTTTTACCCATTTGTAGATTTTTCTTCTAATCAAGTTAAATTTTGTTCACTTTAAAAAAAGAACGTAAAACCAAGCAATTATATCAAATATTTACCAAAAGTGACTAATAAGAGCTACCAACAAAATCTAGGAAACAACCCGCGAAACGTCATGCATATAACTCACAATCACAAACACTGTCTAGTTGAGGCAACTTGTCGAAGATAGGTTAAAAGCAATAAAATCCATAAGATATAAGAAACCAACAGATATTAGGAAAGAAAAAGGGACATGTGATAAATATTGGTTTCTCACATTTTGTTTTACAGATCTATTGTGTGACGACCCAATTTCCTATAGGCCGTAATTGCGCCCAACGTCGCTGCTAGGCAAGCTAACAGTGAACTCGTCATGTATCTATTCTTGTAATATTTTAGAAATAGTTAATTTTTTATTATTAAATAA